CCTCCAGTCGATCCCAAATGCACCTCCTTGGAAGCAGCCCCAAGTCCCCTGGACATTGGGACCCCAAAAGTGGCGCCGGTGGTGGCGGTGGTGGTGGCAGTCGACTGTGGTGGTGGCGGTGGTGGCGGTGGTGGTGGTGGTGGACACAGGGAGGAGGAAGTCTCGTTGCTCACGTAGAAGGAGGTGAGGGCTACGTCGCCACGTGCATCCATCTGCGAGGCACGGGCGAGGCACGGGTGAGGCACGGGAGAGGCACGGGTCAGGCACGGGTGAGGCACGGGAGAGGCACGGGTGAGGCACGGGTGAGGCACGGGTGAGGCACGGGAGAGGCACGGGTGAGGCACGGGTGAGGCACGGGAGAGGCACGGGTGAGGCACGGGTGAGGCACGGGAGAGGCACGGGAGAAGCACGGGTCAGGCACGGGAGAGGCACGGGTGAGGCGGCCTTCGGTCCTCTCGGCAGGGCACTCCGGACACGCAGACACCCAGCTAGCCACACAGCCAGCCAGCTACCCAGCCAGCCACCCAGCCACCCAGCCACCCAGCCACACAGCCACCCAGCCACCCACCCACCCACCCAGCCAGCCACCCAGCCACCCAGCCAGCCACCCAGCCAGAAAGCCACCCAGCCATCCACCCAGCCAGCCACCCAGCCAGCCACCCAGCCAGCCACCCAGCCAGCCAGCCACCCAGCCAGCCAGCCACCCACCCACCCAGCCAGCCACCCAGCCAGCCAGCCACCCAGCCACCCAGCCAGCCACCCACCCACCCAGCCAGCCACCCAGCCAGCCATCCACACAGCCAGCCACCCAGCCAGCCACCCAGCCAGCCACCCAGCCAGCCAGCCACCCAGCCAACCAGCCACCCAGCCATCCACCCAGCCAGCCACCCAGCCAGCCAGCCACCCAGCCAGCCACCCACCCACCCAGCCACCCACCCAGGCATCCACCCAGCCAGCCACCCAGCCACCCAGCCAGCCACCCAGCCAGCCAGCCACCCACCACCCACCCAGCCACCCAGCCACCCACCCACCCAGCCACCCACCCAGCCACCCACCGCCATTCGCCAGTAAGTGGTGGTGACGTCACCACAGTGCTTGTGCCAGGCTATGTGCACATTGAAGCCACGTGAAGTGTCGAACGCCCACTGGCAGGAGGTCACGGGGCAGACCCAGCAGGTGCCACGGGTCGACTGACTGAGATGACTGGCTGATGCACCACCTGTGCCCCCTACTGTGCCAACTTGCTGTGCTTTAGCCACCCGGCGCTCCGCTCGTTGTTGTGAGCGTCGCTCCTCCGCCCTCCGTTGTTGTTGGAGGGCGACTGCCTCCAAATTCCCAGTAGCAGCGTCCTTCGCGAGCCTCCTCCACAGAGGCCGATCTTGACACCGCTGGTACCAGTCATCGGCAAGTCCACTCAGCTCCACGTCCTTCTGTACCACATCACTCCATCTCTTTCTAGCCCGTGCCGCGCCCGTTTAGCCCCCTCGATCTGGCCAAACAAAAGCTGCTTAGGCGTGCGGTGGCTGAGCATGCGGGCTACATGACCCAGCCAATGCAGCCTTGCCTGCCGGAGGAGCTCATCGATGGGACTTTGTCCAGATCTTTCAAGGATTTGTGAGCTCTTCACACAATCCAGCCTGGTTAAACCCAGGATGGATCGTAGGCAGGCTAGCCTAAATGTTTCTAACCGGCGAAATTTTTCATTAGGGGGTCCGTGTTTCACAAGCGTAGAGAAGGGAGGGAATGACTGTGGTCGAGAAGACCTGAAGCTTCGTGCGGAGCGACAGACCAGGTAGCTTCCACACAGCGTTACGCAACCGATGAAAAGATATTGCCGCTCGACTGATTCGGAGTGAGACCTCTGCTGTTAAACTGGAGCCAGTCATAAGCACACTGCCCAGGTATGGGAAACTCTCCACTCTCTCCACAACTGCCCATCACCGATTGGGAGTTGTGTGGGTGGAGTGTCCGATGGTTCAAAATACCCAGGCAGGTGCTTAGTTTTGATGGGGCTGATGGTAAGGCCCCACCTCTTAGTGGCAAGCTCCAGGTTCAGCAGCAGCGTCTCCAACTCCTCCTCTGAGTGAGCAGCAATTACCAGTTCATTGGCATACATAACGTGGTTGAGCAATAGAGAGCCATCCCTTGACCGCTCCCGGGCATCGATCAGCCTCCCATTATATCTGTACCATATGGAGATTCCCCCGGTACAGCTATTGAAGGCTTCATGAGCTACGTGCTCGAAATAGATGTTAAATAATGTGGGAGCCAGAGGACATCCCTGTCGCACCCCAAGGTGTACAGGGAATGGCTCTGACTCCCGGCCACGTAGTTTTACCCGGGCCCGCTCACCATCACGAAGTTCCTTAATGATCGTGAGCAGAGGGTCAGGTACTCCAAAAGCACGAAGAACAACCCAGAGCCCAGGCCTACTGATGGTATCATAGGCCTTGACCAGATCAATAAAGCAGAGATGTAAGTCTTGTTGGAATTCCCTACACCTCTGCTGTATCAGACGGACAGAAAATATGGCATCTGTGCAGGACCGCCCGTTCCTAAAACCGCATTGGGGCTCCGCAAGCCTCTCCTCAACATGCCTAGCAAGGCGATGTTGAATAATCCTTGCCAGGACCTTTCCCGGCACACTGAGGAGTGAGATGCCCCTGTAGTTGTTACAGTCTGTGTGGTCCCCCTTCTAAAAGAGGGGGACCACCAGGGCATCCTTCCAATCCTACGGAACTCGTCCAGTGGTCCAGGCTGTTGTTATGATGTCATATAGGGCAGTCTGTGCACAAACGACACCCTCCCTCAGCATTTCGCTTGGGAGATCATCTCTGCCTGGTGCTTTTCCTGGTTTCAGACTCCGGATCGCCTTCAGTACTTCCTCAACAGATGGCACCTCAGCCAACCACTCACAGGGGGTGACTTCTTCCAATATTTGAGGCACCGCAGCCTCAGCAGGGTCATCCCCACTTTGTCCCATGTTGTTTTCCAGGCTGAGGGATTTTGACTCCCCCAGGACCTCACAGAAATCTTTAGAAAATCTGCAAACCTGTTCCTGGGGGTCGGAGATTGGATCACTGTTCTTTCCCCTAATGATGATAATAGGTATGGCGCTGCAGGTTATTTTTTATGGAATTAAAGAGCGATTTATGATCACGGGCCATTGAGGCAGACTCCATCTCCTCAGCAACCCGTGACCACCACCCATCCTTGCAGCGCCTCACGGCTCTCCGAACCTCCGAGCGAAGGCTGCGGTAAGCTTCCTCATTCTCTGACATGGGATTCTGTAGCCAATGACAGTGGGCCTGTCGCTTTTTCTCAGCCAGCCTGAACACCTCCTCTGTCAGCCAGGGTCTCTGGGGAGGTCTGGACTGCGTACCCAAAGCAGCCATTGCAGCTGCATAAGCCACAGTCCTAAACTTTGCCCATTTCCCCTCGATATCAGGAGGAGTGGGGGATGATGCCAACCCCAGCCACAAGCGATGATGAAATTCTCGCTGGCAACTTTCATCAGCTAGCTGTGACCAGGCCACTTTGCATTTGAATGGGTTGCTGGATGGACATGGGCCCGCATCCGCTGTTCCGTCACTATGTAGTCCGGCAGATGTTCTTGCTTGGACCCGGCATGCATCCATGATGCTGTGTGGATGTGCCGATGCCGGAACAGCGTGTTGGTAATTACAAGCCCATGGGCTGCACAAAAATCTAGCAGCCTCCTACCGTTGTTATTGAGCTGATCTGGCCCATGCCCTCCAATGACTCCAGACCAGGTGCCAGCATCATGACCAACTCGGGCATTGAAGTCCCCCAACAAGATGACTCTATCCCGAGGGGCCACTTTAGTCAGCACCTGTGACAGGAGGTCATAGAAGGCATCTGACTCATCGGATTTGCCTGCATCCCTCCACGGATGTTCGTCTTCGGTGGGGGCATAAGTAACCACGACCACCACTCCTCGCCTCCGGTTGATGGGAAGGCGAGCCCAAAGTAGCCTGGGGCTTACAGCTTCCCACACCTCACCGCCACGCTCCCACGCCCCCTTCATTCTTTTGTTCAGAAGAAGAGCCACTCCCCGTTGTTTGGCAGTCTGCTGCCTGGAGGACTGTCCACCCCTCATGGTGGCAGGAGCCAGAGCCGGTCCACCGGACCTCCTGTAACCGACAGGGGGTCCAGGCGGTAGCGGTCCAGACTCCGGACAGGGGAGTGGCAGCCTCTCGTCCCACGGCCCCAATCGCAGGCTTCTCCCTTTGCGGACAGAGTGTGGCCACCACCACCACCACTACCACCACCACCACCACCACCGCAAGCTCCACCACTACCACCACCACTACCACCACCACTACCACCACCACCACTACCACCACCACTACCACCACCACCACCGCAAGCTCCACTACCACCACCACCACCGCAAGCTCCACCACTACCACCACCACCACCACTGCAAGCTTCACCACCTCCACCACCATCACTACCACCACCACCTCCACCACCATCACCACCACCACCACCACAAGCTCCATCACCTCCACCACCACCACCACCACCACCTCCACCACCATCACCACCACCACTACCACCACCACAAACTCCATCACCTCCACCACCACCACCATCACCACCACTACCACCACCACCACCTCCATCCTCACCTTAATCCCGTCGACCCTCAAGCGTCCACCCCGTCCATTGTTGTTGTTGTTGCTGCTACTGCTGCTTCCACCTCCACCACCACCACCACCACCACCACCACCTCCACCACCTCCACCACCACCACCACAACCACGGAGGCGACGGCGGCCTCTGACCGCCACTGCCGCCGCGTGCCCTAGAGCCCCAAGCTTAATGCGTCCACCACGTCCGCTGTTGCTGTTGTTGTTGTTGCTGCTACTGCTGCTTCCACCTCCACCACCACCACCACCACCTCCACCACCTCCACCACCACCACCACCACCACCTCCACCACCACCGCGGAGACGGCGGCAGCGGCCTCTGACCACGGCCGCGTCCGCGGCCGGAGCGCCGGGGCCCGGCTCGGGCGTCTGCTTGTGGGGGCCGCGTCCGAAGAAGATGAAGTTGACCAGGGCGTACTCCAGCAGGGCCAGGAAGACGAAGACGAAGCAGCCCATGAGGTAGACGTCGATGGCCTTCACGTAGGGAATCTTGGGGAGCGTCTCGCGCATGTGAGTGGAGATCGTCGTCATGGTGAGCACCGTGGTGATGCCTGCGTAGGTGGGGGATGGGGGGGTGGGTGGGTGAGAGGGTGAGAGGGTGAGAGGGTGAGTGAGTGGGTGGGTGAGTGAGTGGTGAGTGAGTGGTGAGTGAGTGGTGAGTGAGTGGTGAGTGAGTGGTGAGTGAGTGGTGAGTGGAGATCGTCGTCATGGTGAGCACCGTGGTGAGGCCTGCGTAGGTGGGGGGGGGTGGGTGGGGGGGGTGAGGGGGTGAGTGAGTGGTGAGTGAGTGGGTGAGTGAGTGAGTGAGTGGTGAGTGAGTGGTGAGTGAGTGAGTGGGTGAGTGGGTGAGTGAGTGAGTGGTGAGTGAGTGGGTAAGTGAGTGGGTGAGTGAGTGGGTGGTGAGTGAGTGGTGAGTGAGTGAGTGGTGAGTGAGTGGTGAGTGAGTGAGTGGGTGGTGAGTGATTGGTGAGTGAGTGAGTGAGTGGGTGGTGAGTGATTGGTGAGTGAGTGAGTGGTGAGTGGTGAGTGAGTGAGTGAGTGGGTGAGTGAGTGAGTGGTGAGTGAGTGGTGAGTGAGTGGGTGAGTGGTGAGTGAGTGGGTGGTGAGTGAGTGAGTGGGTGAGTGAGTGAGTGGTGAGTGAGTGGTGAGTGAGTGGGTGAGTGAGTGGGTGAGTGAGTGGGTGGTGAGTGAGTGGTGAGTGAGTGAGTGGTGAGTGAGTGGTGAGTGAGTGGGTGGTGAGTGAGTGGTGAGTGAGTGAGTGGTGAGTGAGTGGGTGAGTGAGTGGGTGGTGAGTGAGTGGTGAGTGAGTGAGTGGTGAGTGAGTGGTGAGTGAGTGAGTGGGTGGTGAGTGATTGGTGAGTGAGTGAGTGAGTGGGTGGTGAGTGATTGGTGAGTGAGTGAGTGGTGAGTGGTGAGTGAGTGAGTGAGTGGGTGAGTGAGTGAGTGGTGTGTGAGTGGTGAGTGAGTGGGTGAGTGGTGAGTGAGTGGGTGGTGAGTGAGTGAGTGGGTGAGTGAGTGAGTGGTGAGTGAGTGGTGAGTGAGTGGGTGAGTGAGTGGGTGAGTGAGTGGGTGGTGAGTGAGTGGTGAGTGAGTGAGTGTTGAGTGAGTGGTGAGTGAGTGGGTGGTGAGTGAGTGGTGAGTGAGTGAGTGGTGAGTGAGTGGGTGAGTGAGTGGGTGGTGAGTGAGTGGTGAGTGAGTGAGTGGTGAGTGAGTGGTGAGTGAGTGAGTGGGTGGTGAGTGATTGGTGAGTGAGTGAGTGAGTGGGTGGTGAGTGATTGGTGAGTGAGTGAGTGGTGAGTGGTGAGTGAGTGAGTGAGTGGGTGAGTGAGTGAGTGGTGAGTGAGTGGTGAGTGAGTGGGTGAGTGGTGAGTGAGTGGGTGGTGAGTGAGTGAGTGAGTGGGTGAGTGAGTGAGTGGTGAGTGAGTGGTGAGTGAGTGGGTGAGTGAGTGGGTGAGTGAGTGAGTGGTGAGTGAGTGAGTGGTGAGTGAGTGGTGAGTGAGTGAGTGGGTGGTGAGTGATTGGTGAGTGAGTGAGTGGGTGGTGAGTGATTGGTGAGTGAGTGAGTGGTGAGTGGTGAGTGAGTGAGTGGGTGAGTGAGTGAGTGGTGAGTGAGTGGTGAGTGAGTGGGTGAGTGGTGAGTGAGTGGGTGGTGAGTGAGTGGGTGAGTGAGTGGTGAGTGGGTGAGTGAGTGGGTGAGTGGGTGAGTGAGTGAGTGGTGAGTGAGTGAGTGGGTGAGTGAGTGGGTGGTGAGTGAGTGAGTGGGTGAGTGAGTGGTGAGTGAGTGAGTGGGTGGTGAGTGAGTGGTGAGTGCAGATCGTCGTCATGGTAAGCACCGTGGTGATGCCTGCGTAGGTGGGGGGTGGGGGGGTGAGGGGGTGAGTGGGTGAGAGGGTGAGTGGTGAGTGACTGGGTGAGTGAGTGGTGAGTGAGTGGTGAGTGGAGATCGTCGTCATGGTGAGCACCGTGGTGATGCCTGCGTAGGTGGGGGGTGGGGGGGTGAGGGGGTGAGGGGGTGAGAGGGTGAGAGGGTGAGTGAGTGGGTGGGTGAGTGAGTGGTGAGTGAGTGGTGAGTGAGTGGTGAGTGAGTGGTGAGTGAGTGGTGAGTGAGTGGTGAGTGGAGATCGTCGTCATGGTGAGCACCGTGGTGATGCCTGCGTAGGTGGGGGGGGGTGGGTGGGGGGGGTGAGGGGGTGAGTGAGTGGTGAGTGAGTGGGTGAGTGAGTGAGTGAGTGGTGAGTGAGTGGTGAGTGAGTGAGTGGGTGAGTGGGTGAGTGAGTGAGTGGTGAGTGAGTGGGTAAGTGAGTGGGTGAGTGAGTGGGTGGTGAGTGAGTGGTGAGTGAGTGAGTGGTGAGTGAGTGGTGAGTGAGTGAGTGGGTGGTGAGTGATTGGTGAGTGAGTGAGTGAGTGGGTGGTGAGTGATTGGTGAGTGAGTGAGTGGTGAGTGGTGAGTGAGTGAGTGAGTGGGTGAGTGAGTGAGTGGTGAGTGAGTGGTGAGTGAGTGGGTGAGTGGTGAGTGAGTGGGTGGTGAGTGAGTGAGTGGGTGAGTGAGTGAGTGGTGAGTGAGTGGTGAGTGAGTGGGTGAGTGAGTGGGTGAGTGAGTGGGTGGTGAGTGAGTGGTGAGTGAGTGAGTGGTGAGTGAGTGGTGAGTGAGTGGGTGGTGAGTGAGTGGTGAGTGAGTGAGTGGTGAGTGAGTGGGTGAGTGAGTGGGTGGTGAGTGAGTGGTGAGTGAGTGAGTGGTGAGTGAGTGGTGAGTGAGTGAGTGGGTGGTGAGTGATTGGTGAGTGAGTGAGTGAGTGGGTGGTGAGTGATTGGTGAGTGAGTGAGTGGTGAGTGGTGAGTGAGTGAGTGAGTGGGTGAGTGAGTGAGTGGTGAGTGAGTGGTGAGTGAGTGGGTGAGTGGTGAGTGAGTGGGTGGTGAGTGAGTGAGTGGGTGAGTGAGTGCGTGGTGAGTGAGTGGTGAGTGAGTGGGTGAGTGAGTGGGTGAGTGAGTGGGTGGTGAGTGAGTGGTGAGTGAGTGAGTGGTGAGTGAGTGGTGAGTGAGTGGGTGGTGAGTGAGTGGTGAGTGAGTGAGTGGTGAGTGAGTGGGTGAGTGAGTGGGTGGTGAGTGAGTGGTGAGTGAGTGAGTGGTGAGTGAGTGGTGAGTGAGTGAGTGGGTGGTGAGTGATTGGTGAGTGAGTGAGTGAGTGGGTGGTGAGTGATTGGTGAGTGAGTGAGTGGTGTGTGGTGAGTGAGTGAGTGAGTGGGTGAGTGAGTGAGTGGTGAGTGAGTGGTGAGTGAGTGGGTGAGTGGTGAGTGAGTGGGTGGTGAGTGAGTGAGTGAGTGGGTGAGTGAGTGAGTGGTGAGTGAGTGGTGAGTGAGTGGGTGAGTGAGTGGGTGAGTGAGTGAGTGGTGAGTGAGTGAGTGGTGAGTGAGTGGTGAGTGAGTGAGTGGGTGGTGAGTGATTGGTGAGTGAGTGAGTGGGTGGTGAGTGAGTGGTGAGTGAGTGAGTGGTGAGTGGTGAGTGAGTGAGTGGGTGAGTGAGTGAGTGGTGAGTGAGTGGTGAGTGAGTGGGTGAGTGGTGAGTGAGTGGGTGGTGAGTGAGTGGGTGAGTGAGTGGTGAGTGGGTGAGTGAGTGGGTGAGTGGGTGAGTGAGTGAGTGGTGAGTGAGTGAGTGGGTGAGTGAGTGGGTGGTGAGTGAGTGAGTGGGTGAGTGAGTGGTGAGTGAGTGAGTGGGTGGTGAGTGAGTGGTGAGTGCAGATCGTCGTCATGGTAAGCACCGTGGTGATGCCTGCGTAGGTGGGGGGTGGGGGGGTGAGGGGGTGAGTGGGTGAGAGGGTGAGTGGTGAGTGACTGGGTGAGTGAGTGGTGAGTGAGTGGTGAGTGGAGATCGTCGTCATGGTGAGCACCGTGGTGATGCCTGCGTAGGTGGGGGGTGGGGGGGTGAGGGGGTGAGGGGGTGAGAGGGTGAGAGGGTGAGTGAGTGGGTGGGTGAGTGAGTGGTGAGTGAGTGGTGAGTGAGTGGTGAGTGAGTGGTGAGTGAGTGGTGAGTGAGTGGTGAGTGGAGATCGTCGTCATGGTGAGCACCGTGGTGATGCCTGCGTAGGTGGGGGGGGGTGGGTGGGGGGGGTGAGGGGGTGAGTGAGTGGTGAGTAAGTGGTGAGTATGTGAGGGGGTGAGTGAGTGAGTGGTGAGTGAGTGGTGAGTGTGTGAGTGGTGAGTGAGGGGGTGAGTGAGTGAGTGGTGAGTGAGTGAGTGGTGAGTGAGTGAGGGGGTGAGTGAGTGGTGAGTGTGTGTGTGGTGAGTGAGTGGTGAGTGAGTGAGTGGGTGGTGAGTGATTGGTGAGTGAGTGAGTGAGTGGGTGGTGAGTGATTGGTGAGTGAGTGAGTGGTGAGTGGTGAGTGAGTGAGTGAGTGGGTGAGTGAGTGAGTGGTGAGTGAGTGGTGAGTGAGTGGGTGAGTGGTGAGTGAGTGAGTGGTGAGTGAGTGAGTGGGTGAGTGAGTGAGTGGTGAGTGAGTGGTGAGTGAGTGGGTGAGTGAGTGGGTGAGTGAGTGGGTGGTGAGTGAGTGGTGAGTGAGTGAGTGGTGAGTGAGTGGTGAGTGAGTGGGTGGTGAGTGAGTGGTGAGTGAGTGAGTGGTGAGTGAGTGGGTGAGTGAGTGGGTGGTGAGTGAGTGGTGAGTGAGTGAGTGGTGAGTGAGTGGTGAGTGAGTGAGTGGGTGGTGAGTGATTGGTGAGTGAGTGAGTGAGTGGGTGGTGAGTGATTGGTGAGTGAGTGAGTGGTGAGTGGTGAGTGAGTGAGTGAGTGGGTGAGTGAGTGAGTGGTGAGTGAGTGGTGAGTGAGTGGGTGAGTGGTGAGTGAGTGGGTGGTGAGTGAGTGAGTGGGTGAGTGAGTGAGTGGTGAGTGAGTGGTGGGTGAGTGGGTGAGTGAGTGGGTGAGTGAGTGGGTGGTGAGTGAGTGGTGAGTGAGTGAGTGGTGAGTGAGTGGTGAGTGAGTGGGTGGTGAGTGAGTGGTGAGTGAGTGAGTGGTGAGTGAGTGGGTGAGTGAGTGGGTGGTGAGTGAGTGGTGAGTGAGTGAGTGGTGAGTGAGTGGTGAGTGAGTGAGTGGGTGGTGAGTGATTGGTGAGTGAGTGAGTGAGTGGGTGGTGAGTGATTGGTGAGTGAGTGAGTGGTGAGTGGTGAGTGAGTGAGTGAGTGGGTGAGTGAGTGAGTGGTGAGTGAGTGGTGAGTGAGTGGGTGAGTGGTGAGTGAGTGGGTGGTGAGTGAGTGAGTGAGTGGGTGAGTGAGTGAGTGGTGAGTGAGTGGTGAGTGAGTGGGTGAGTGAGTGGGTGAGTGAGTGAGTGGTGAGTGAGTGAGTGGTGAGTGAGTGGTGAGTGAGTGAGTGGGTGGTGAGTGATTGGTGAGTGAGTGAGTGGGTGGTGAGTGATTGGTGAGTGAGTGAGTGGTGAGTGGTGAGTGAGTGAGTGGGTGAGTGAGTGAGTGGTGAGTGAGTGGTGAGTGAGTGGGTGAGTGGTGAGTGAGTGGGTGGTGAGTGAGTGAGTGAGTGGGTGAGTGAGTGAGTGGTGAGTGAGTGGTGAGTGAGTGGGTGAGTGGTGAGTGAGTGGGTGGTGAGTGAGTGAGTGGTGAGTGAGTGAGTGGTGAGTGAGTCAGTGAGTGGTGAGTGAGTGAGTGAGTGGTGAGTGAGTGAGTGGTGAGTGAGTGAGTGGTGAGTGAGTCAGTGAGTGGTGAGTGAGTGAGTGAGTGGTGAGTGAGTGAGTGGTGAGTGAGTGGTGAGTGAGTGGTGAGTGAGTGGTGGGTGAGTCAGTGAGTGGTGAGTGAGTCAGTGAGTGGTGAGACGGTGGTGATGGTGGTGATGGTATATCTCTCTCTATCTCTATCTATTTATCTCTCTGTATATCTCCGTATATATCTCTCTATATCTCTCTATATCTCTCTCTATCTCTATATATCTCTCTGTCTATCTCTATCTCTCTATCTATCTCTCTATCTCTCCATCTCTCTCTATCTATCTCTCTCTGTCTCTCTCTCTATCTCTCTCTATCGCTCTCTATCTCTCTATCTCTCTCTATCTCTCTCTATATCTCTCTATCTCTCTCTATCTCTCTATCTCTATCTATCTCTCTCTATCTCTCTCTATCTCTCTATCTCTATCTATCTCTCTGTCTCTCTCTCTATCTCTCTCTATCTCTCTATCTCTATCTATCTCTCTCTATCTATCTCTCTATATCTCTCTATCTCTCTCTATATATCTCTGTCTCTCTCTATCTCTTTCTATCTCTCTATCTCTCTATCTCTCTCTATCCCTCTCTATCTCTCTCTCTGTCTCTCTCTATCTCTCTCTATCCCTCTCTATCTCTCTCTCTGTCTCTCTCTATCTCTCTCTATCCCTCTCTATATCTCTCTATATTTCTCTGTCTCTCTCTCTATCTCTCTCTGTCTCTCTCTCTCTATCTCTCTCTATCTCTCTCTATCTCTCTCTATCTCTCTCTATCTCTCTATATATGTCTCTGTCTCTCTCTATCTCTCTCTAAATCTCTCTATCTCTCTCTATCTCTCTATATATGTCTCTGTCTCTCTCTATCTCTCTCTAAATCTCTCTAAATCTCTCTATCTCTCTCTATCTCTCTCTGTCTCTATCTCTCTCTATCTCTCTCTATCTCTATCTCTCTATCTCTATCTCTCTATCTCTCTCTATCTCTCTCTATTTATCTCTCTCTCTGTCTCTCTCTATCTCTATCTCTCTATCTCTCTATCTCTGTCTCTCTATCTGTCTCTATCTCTCTATCTCTCTCTCTGTCTCTCTCTATCTCTATCTCTCTATCTCTATCTATCTCTATCTCTATCTATCTCTCTCTGTCTCTCTCTGTCTCTCTGTCTCTCTATCTCTCTATCTCTCTCTGTCTCTATCTCTCTCTATCTCTCTATATCTCTCTATCTCTATCTATCTCTCTCTGTCTCTCTCTATCTCTCTCTATCTCTCTATCCCTCTCTGTCTCTCTCTGTCTCTCTCTATCTCTCTCTATCTCTCTCTATCTATCTCTCTCTATCTTTCTATCTCTCTCTATCTCTCCATCTATCTCTCTCTATCTCTATCTCTGTGTATCTCTCACCCAGGGCCACACGCGCGGCTGAAGCGTCGTAGTTGATCCAGAATGAGACCCAGGACAGGATGGTGATGAGAGTTGAGGGCATGTACGTCTGCAGGATGAAGTAGCCGATGTTGCGTTTAAGGCGGAAGCTGAGTGACAGACGCGGATAGGAGCCTTGGAGGGGGGGGGGGAGATAAGGGGGGAGATAAGGAGAGAGAGAGGGGGGGAGAGATAAGGAGAGGGGGGTGAGAGGGGGAGAGAGGGAGAGAGAGGGGGTTAGCGTATTTTCCCGCTTATAACCCCGCAGAAAATAGCGTTTTGTGCAAAACAAATTTCAGATAGCCCGCTCCGTCATACGCCCCGCGTGCATTCATATCTTTAACGTCGTTAATTCCATTATATTAATGTGAAGCTTACATTTGCAATACATTCCACTATCAATTGTTCACGTTAAAATCGTAACGTGCACAATGAAATCAAACCAACCGGAAACGAGTTAAACGTAACACGGTAAATAAGTAACAAAAGGAAAATATCCGATAAAATACGTAACACGTGACCGTCATTGCTGGTTAATTCGGTAAGGTCACGTAGAAGGGGAAATAATAAAACAGTAAAAACTAAAAACATCATCGGATAAAATGTACGCGACGTTTCGTCCACAACGCCAGCAGCCGTCCTGTTAGGACAGCTGTCTTTCCAACAGCTATGTTATAATCACTAGGACAGGTGTCTTTCCCATAGCTATGTTCTAATCACTAGGATGGCTGTCTTTCCCACAGGTCTGTTCTAATCACTAGGACAGCTGTCTTTCCCACAGCTATGTTCTAATCACCAGGACAGCTGTCTTTCCCACAGCTATGTTCTAATCACCAGGACAGCTGTCTTTCCCACAGCTATGTTCTAATCACTAGGACAGCTGTCTTTCTCACAGCAATCTTATAATCACTAGGACGGCTGTCTTTCCCACAACTCTGTTATAATCACTAGGACAGCTGTCTTTCCCACAACTCTGTTATAATCACTAGGACAGCTGTCTTTCTCACAGCTCTGTTCTAATCACTAGGACAGCTGTCTTTGCCACAGCTATGTTCTAATCACCAGGACGGCTGTCTTTCCCACAACTCTGTTCTAATCACTAGGACGGCTGTCTTTCCCACAGCTATGTTCTAATCACTAGGACGGCTGTCTTTCCCACAGCTATGTTCTAATCACTAGGACAGCTGTCTTTCCCACAGCTCTGTTATAATCACTAGGACGGCTGTCTTTCCCACAGCTCTCTCTTAATCACTAGGACGGCTGTCTTTCCCACAGCTCTCTTATAATCACTAGGATGGCTGTCTTTCCCACAGCTCTGTTCTAATCACAAGGACGGCTGTCTTTGCCACAGCTATGTTCTAATCACTAGCACAGCTGTCTTTCCCACAGCTATGTTCTAATCACTAGGACAGCTGTCTCTACCACAGCTCTGTTCTAATCACTAGGACAGCTGTCTTTCCCACAGCTATGTTCTAATCACTAGGATGGCTGTCTTTCCCACAGCTGTGTTCTAATCACTAGGACGGCTGTCTTTCCCACAGCTGTGTTCTAATCACTAGGATGGCTGTCTTTCCCACAGCTCTGTTCTAATCACTAGGATGGCTGTCTTTCCCACAGCTATGTTCTAATCACTAGGACGGCTGTTTTTCTCACAGCTCTCTTATAATCACTAGGACAGCTGTCTTTCTCACAGCTCTGTTCTAATCGCTAGGATGGCTGTCTTTCCCACAGCTGCTTTATAACCACTGGGACGGCTGTCTTTCCCACAGCTATGTTCTAATCACTAGGACAGCTGTCTTTCCCACAGCTCTCTCATAATAATTAGGATGGCTGTCTTTGCCACAGCTATGTTCTAATCACTAGGACAGCTGTCTCTACCACAGCTCTGTTCTAATCACTAGGATGGCTGTCTTTGCCACAGCTCTGTTCTAATTACTAGGACGGCTGTCTTTCCCACAGCTATGTTCTAATCACTAGGATGGCTGTCTTTCCCACAGCTCTATTCTAATCACTAGGACAGCTGTCTTTCCCACAGCTATGTTCTAATCACTAGGACGGCTGTCTTTCCCACAGCTATGTTCTAATCACTAGGACGGCTGTCTCTCCCACAGCTGTGTTCTAATCACTAGGACAGCTGTCTTTCCCACAGGTCTGTTCTAATCACTGGGACGGCTGTCTCTCCTACAGCTCTGTTCTAATCACTAGGACGGCTGTCTTTCCAACAGCTATGTTCTAATCACTAGCACAGCTGTCTTTCCCACAGCTCTGTTCAAATCACCAGGACAGCTGTCTTTCCCACAACTCTGTTATAATCACTAGGACGGCGGTCTCTCCCACAGCTATGTTATAATCACTAGGATGGCTGTCTTTCCTACAGCTCTATTATAATCACTAGGACGGCTGTCTATCCCACAGCTCTGTTATAATCACTAGGATGGCTGTCTTTCCTACAGCTCTATTATAATCACTAGGATGGCTGTCTTTCCCACAGCTCTATTATAATCACTAGGACGGCTGTCTTTCCCACAGCTGTGTTATAATCACTAGGATGGCTGTCTTTCCCACAGCTATGTTCTAATCACTAGGACAGCTGTCTTTCCCACAGCTCTCTTATAATCACTAGGACAGCTGTCTTTCCCACAGCTCTGTTCTAATCACTAGGACGGCTGTCTTTCCCACAGGTCTGTTCTAATCACTAGGACGGCTGTCTTTCCTACAGCTCTGTTCTAATCACTAGGACGGCTGTCTTTCCCACAGCTCTGTTATAATCACTAGGACGGCTGTCTTTCCCACAGCTCTGTTATAATCACTAGGACGGCTGTCTTTCCCACAGCTCTGTTATAATCACTAGGACGGCTGTCTTTCCCACAGCTCTGTTATAATCACTAGGACGGCTGTCTTTCCCACAGCTCTGTTATAATCACTAGGACGGCTGTCTTTCCCACAGCTCTCTTATAATCACTAGGTCGGTTGTCTTTCCCACAGCTCTGTTATAATCACTAGGACGGCTGTCTTTCCCACAGCTCTGTTATAATCACTAGGACGGCTGTCTTTCCCACAGCTCTCTTATAATCACTAGGACGGCTGTCTTTCCCACAGCTCTGTTCTAATCACTAGGATGGCTGTCTTTCCCACAGCTATGTTCTAATCACTAGGACGGCTGTCTTTCCCACAGCTATGTTCTAATCACTAGGACGGCTGTCTTTCCCACAGCTCTGTTCTAATCACTAGGATGGCTGTCTTTCCCACAGCTCTGTTCTAATCACTAGGACAGCTGTCTTTCCCACAGCTATGTTATAATCACTAGGACGCCTGTCTCTCCCACAGCTCTCTTATAATCACTAGGACAGCTGTCTTTCCCACAGCTATGTTCTAATCACTAGGACAGCTGTCTTTCCCACAGCTATGTTCTAATCACTAGGACGGCTGTCTTTCTCACAGCTCTCTTATAATCACTAGGACAGCTGTCTTTCTCACAGCTCTGTTCTAATCGCTAGGATGGCTGTCTTTCCCACAGCTGCTTTATAACCACTAGGACAGCTGTCTTTCCCACAGCTCTCTCATAATAATTAGGATGGCTGTCTTTGCCACAGCTATGTTCTAATCACTAGGACAGCTGTCTCTACCACAGCTCTGTTCTAATCACTAAGATGGCTGTCTTTGCCACAGCTCTGTTCTAATTACTAGGACGGCTGTCTTTCCCACAGCTATGTTCTAATCACTAGGACGGCTGTCTTTCCCACAGCTCTATTCTAATCACTAGGACAGCTGTCTTTCCCACAGCTATGTTCTAATCACTAGGACGGCTGTCTTTCCCACAGCTATGTTCTAATCACTAGGACGGCTGTCTCTCCCACAGCTGTGTTCTAATCACTAGGACAGCTGTCTTTCCCACAGGTCTGTTCTAATCACTGGGACGGCTGTCTCTCCTACAGCTCTGTTCTAATCACTAGGACGGCTGTCTTTCCAACAGCTATGTTCTAATCACTAGCACAGCTGTCTTTCCCACAGCTCTGTTCAAATCACCAGGACAGCTGTCTTTCCCACAACTCTGTTCTAATCACTAGGACGGCTGTCTCTCCCACAGCTCTGTTATAATCACTAGGATGGCTGTCTTTCCTACAGCTCTATTATAATCACTAGGACGGCTGTCTCTCCCACAGCTCTGTTATAATCACTAGGACAGCTGTCTTTCCCACAGGTCTGTTCTAATCACTGGGACGGCTGTCTCTCCTACAGCTCTGTTCTAATCACTAGGACGGCTGTCTTTCCAACAGCTATGTTCTAATCACTAGCACAGCTGTCTTTCCCACAGCTCTGTTCAAATCACCAGGACAGCTGTCTTTCCCACAACTCTGTTATAATCACTAGGACGGCGGTCTCTCCCACAGCTATGTTCTAATCACTAGGACGGCTGTCTCTCCCACAGCTCTGTTATAATCACTAGGATGGCTGTCTTTCCTACAGCTCTATTATAATCACTAGGACGGCTGTCTCTCCCACAGCTCTGTTATAATCACTAGGATGGCTGTCTTTCCTACAGCTCTATTATAATCACTAGGATGGCTGTCTTTCCCACAGCTCTATTATAATCACTAGGACGGCTGTCTTTCCCACAGCTCTGTTCTAATCACTAGGACAGCTGTCTTTCCCACAGCTCTATTATAATCACTAGGATGGCTGTCTTTCCCACAGCTCTATTATAATCACTAGGATGGCTGTCTTTCCCACAGCTCTGTTCTAATCACTAGGACAGCTGTCTTTCCCACAGCTCTATTATAATCACTAGGACGGCTGTCTTTCCCACAGCTGTGTTATAATCACTAGGACAGCTGTCTTTCCCACAGGTCTGTTCTAAGCACTAGGACGGCTGTCTTTCCTACAGCTCTGTTCTAATCACTAGGACGGCTGTCTTTCCCACAGCTCTCTTATAATCACTAGGACGGCTGTCTTTCCCACAGCTCTGTTATAATCACTAGGACGGCTGTCTTTCCCACAGCTCTGTTATAATCACTAGGACGGCTGTCTTTCCCACAGCTCTCTTATAATCACTAGGACGGCTGTCTTTCCCACAGCTATGTTATAATCACTAGGACGGCTGTCTCTCCCACAGCTATGTTCTAATCACTAGGACG